CTGCTTCTTCAAGAGGGTGACGGTGAAGAAATACTGCCACAGGTCGAAGTTGGGACTAATCCCCAAGAACCCCTCACACAAGGCGATGAACACCGCAATGTGTTGGACCCCATTGGCAGTAAGGTGCTACAGCTCCACCTTGTAGTAATTCAGTAGCCCCTAAAGGAACTTGTGGGCAGGGGTGGCGAATCCCCGCTCGTGAAAGCGAGTGAAGGACATGACGTAGCCTTCGGGCGGCAACGACACATCTTCATTGTCGGGCAGCCGCCACTCCTCAGTGGCGGTCCGCGCGCAAAGAAGGCCGTGGCAAACGAGGCCCTCCAGGTCCTGGAGGGTGACATCGGATTTGCACCACGCCTCCATTAGACGATTGGGGTGGATGAATGCGAGCTTGATGATGGCTGCGATGTGGGTGCGGGAGGCTCAGGTGATTGGTGGCGGAGGTTGTAGATGCAAAGGCGAGGAGGCAAAGTAAGGAACCCTAGGGGTGAACCCTTTGGTTTTATAGGGGCAATGGATGCAAGGAAGGCAACCGTCTGCCTAGATCTCTGCGCCTGCCATGATTCGCCACCACATCACCATGCGGGACATGCGCCCCCAATCCCTATCCTTTCCCACCAAAGTCGCAGAAGGGTCAAAAAGCATTTCTTCGGCCCGCCTAGGCCCAGGAGTTCGAGGGCTGGCCTAAAAGTTTCGACAGTCGTCCCAACGAGGGATGGGCTCGCGAGCGGTCAAAACTCAGGCGCACGAGCCTCAAGGGAGTCTCGATCCGCAATCGAGTCTCAACCAGGCTGACCCTGGATGAATCCCCACGAACGGGATACCAGGGTTCCCTTTAAGCTACCCAGTTGTCAAAACACCAAATCTCACAGCCATACCCGCGAAGGGTCCGAATTACCTCTTGGGCGATTCTATCCGAATCACCCGAGGGCTCGGGGCTACACCTGATAGGTGCGCTCGCGGGAACCCTATGGTGAATCAAAATACCCCCCTGGGCGATTCTATCTGAATCACCCGGGCTCGGGGGCTACACCCGACAGGTGCGCTCACGCGCACCGTCTAGCGAATCAAAATACCCCCGGGCGATTCTATCTGAATCACCCGGGGGCTACACCCGTCGGGTGTGCTCGCGCGCACCCTCTGGCAAGTCAAATCACACCTTGGGCGACTCTATTTGAATCGCTCGGTGGCTCGGGGACTACTGTCGGGGACTGAATACTGGGGTACCCAAAGAGATGGAACTAATAACGATCAAACGCTGATGCTTCCGAACAGACAAGAGCGCAACTACACTTCTTGCCCATTCGACCGAAGGTTGGCCGCGCCTCACCCGGCCCCTAAGGGTTGGCTCCACCTCGCCCGACCCCTAAGGGTTGGCTCCGCCTCGCCCGACCCCCGAATGCTAGCTTCACCTCGCCCGACGTCTGAGGGCTGGCTTTGCCTCGCCCAATGTCCGAGGGCAGGCTCCGCCTCGCCCGACGTCCGAGAGCTAGCATCGCCTCGCCCGACGTCTGAGGGCTGGCTCCACCTCGCCCGATGACCAAGGACTGGCTCTGCCTCGCCCGACGCCCGAGGGCTGGCTCTGCCTCGCCCGATGTCCCGGGACAGGCTCCGCCTCGCCCGACGTCCCGGGATAGGCTCCGCCTCGCTCGACGTCCCGGGGCTGGCTCCGCCTCGCCCGACGACTGCACCCTGCTCCTTCTTAATGACGAGCACAGGGTAGGACAGAACACTCGAGTCAACCGCAGCACCGAGGACCATGCCCTGCACGCCTGCAGGAAAGTACCATCAGGATACGACGGGACAGGCGCTTTAAGCCCTTCCAGGCATGACAGAGCCCGAACAGTGTTGTAGGCGCCAACTTTTGTCTTACAGTATTGTGGGCGACGCCATCAGCCCTCGGACGTGGATCCTGACACAAGCATACGACAACCACTACGATTCAGGAGGGAACTCACATCACCTATAGTGACGAACGTATGGTCACTACCCCGTCTGCTCCCCGTAGGGTCATTGCTCGGCACCCTGGCACGCCGCACCGTCCGCCAGAGTAGGATGGGACGTGACCACTTGCTGAACGAAGCCAGAGCACGGCCCGATTAGGATCAGCGAACGTGCTATCCCTGACACTGTCTGCCATGTCAGCAGGGCAGGCTCAAGGGAAAAGGAAGACCCGGCACCTGCGAACGGCCTTCTCTGCCTCTGGTTTTTTCTCTTTCTCCCATCTATAATCCTTGCTTCCCCTTGGTCTATAAAAGGGAGGGCAGGGCACCCTACTAAGGGGGACGGATCAATTCGACACATATCACACACACAGCTGAGGAGCAACCAAGCTCTCAGCGTTCTTTCGACCTTTCCATCAGAGACTTGGGGCCTATCCTTCTCTCGACCGTTTGTACCCCCTACTATGAACCTTTTTCAGTGCTAATAACACGAGCAGCAGGAAACTGGACGTATGGACATTCTGGCCGAACCAGTATAAACCTTGTGTCCTTTAGCACACCATCCGGGTCTAACGCACAACAAATACAAATTTACTAGTTGATGTTTACTCTAAACACCGACACTCACCGACTGAGGGCATATCAATCCAGCGGCGAATCTAGACTAAACTGCTGCCGGTGTCACACAGATTCATGAACTCAATTTGATGGGGTCGTAGTTGGCCGGAATACGCGGGGTTCCACTGATTCGTACAAAGTTATCGGGGTAGCATGACCCCGACACATGCACTGTGGCTTCGCCGCTGTATCAATCCTTTGTCCATATTGGGTCCACACGTGCGTCCTGTTTATTTGGGTTTGTTTGGCTTATAAGCCGTACTTTTTCAGCCAACGAATAGTATTTTTCTCTCACACCAAATCAGCCAACAGTACTTTCAGCCATAACTTATCAGCCAAACAAGCCCAAACAAACAGGACGGTGGAAGGTGAAGCTGTGAAAAAAGCTACTATTTTAAGCTTCATCCCACCTCAATCTCATGTGTCAACAGGTTTCAGGAGCTTCACCCATGAAGTTGTTTGTAAAAAGAGTATTTGGTAAAAAAAACTCGCAATAACTTATGAAGTTGTTGGTGAAACTGTGCCAAACATAGATTTACATGGGTCTCCAAAATTTTCTAATATGACCCTCTTTAAAAGGATATGTTCTATAAAATTTAAAGTCCAGGGCATCACATCACTTAAGTTGACCTAAGTGTCTGTTTAGTTGCTAAAATTTTACAAAATTTTTTAAGATTTCTCGTCACATCAAATCTTTGAGACGCATGCATGAAGCATTAAATATAAATAAAAAATAAAACTAATTACACAGTTTAGACGAAATTCACGAGACGAATCTTTTAAGCCTAATTAGACTATAATTGGACACTAATTGTTAAATAACAACAAAATGCTACAGTACCATTTCCAAAAAAAAATCGCCAACTAAACAAGGCTAAGTATATACATCTGGCGGATGAGATGGCTTGGCATCACATCACATGCGTGCACCATCAGTCATGCCACTTCATGTGCATGCTTGGCTTGCTGCTAGGCCAAGGCGGGCAGTGGACTGTGTTAGAAGCATCCATACACGATTAGTTTATGGATGGACTGATCGGATTAGCTAGCTGAGCGGTGAAGGCAGTCTGGTTGTGATTTGATACGTTCTGGATGTATATGCGTACCGAGCTGAGAGCTGTAGTGCGCGCGTCGCGTGCACTGGAAGCCGCGAGCTGTGCGTGCGTCGCGTGCAATGGAAGAAATGCACAAAAGGAAGCACGAAAGCAGAGCATGCAGCTCATCGTCAGCTGTGACGGAAACGGAAGGAACAGCACCTTCAGTTTTGTCGGTTCCTCAGCGTTGAGTACTCCGTCCCCTAATAAATGCATTTCTAGAGTTTACTTTTTTTTTCAAAATAAATACAAACTAATTGTATTTGTCTTTTTTCTACTCTCTCTTTCCAAAACGCAATGATTACATTTTTATAGAAACATATATATAATTTCTCATTGTCATTGGTCTACTTCACCTAAACTCTATAGGTGCACTTATTTTGGCATGCATTGCATGGCGGCGGCATGCCGTCGTCCCTGTGATTGTTCGTTTGGTTGTCGGTGTCACACATGCACAGAACACAGGCATGGACGACATGGACATCTACAAGTCCTGTCGTCTTTGTGCGGCGAGCGTCCGAGCGAGGTACGTAGATGACGATAGATATACGTCATGTTTTACTGGGCTTGTTTGGCTGATAAGCCATGACTAAAAATACTGTTGACGGGATCTAGTATGAGAGAAAAATATTATTCATTGACTGATAAGCCATAACTTATAAGTCAAATGATCCAGCGAACGGGCTGATATAGATAGAGCCTGCTCATACACATCGATCAGCATGTAGGGGCGGACTACGGACTATGGAGGAAATAGGAGCTAGCAGGAGACAGTGACACGCACGCACATTAAATTGAGCAAGCGATAGAGGGGTGCGCCTGAGCCTGAGCTGCACCTCGTCATCATACACCCTTTTCGCTCGATCGTAATATTTTTGTCTCACCGCAAAACAGTCGTGGCGCAGCGCAGGCTGTGGCAGCAGAGCATAGTGTGCGCCCAGCCAGCGTCCTTGTGGTGAGGGAGCGCCAGCACCATCAAGCGCTGCCGCCGTGCTGGTTGGTTCCTGTTGACATGGTAGAATTCAAGGCCTGGCCTGCTCGGTAGGTGAGGGTGGTCGTAACTGGTGGTGGTGGTCAACATCGAATTCCCTCACTCACACACACTCTCACTCTCTGGTCATCGTCTATCTATCGTCAGATCCTCGGTCCTCATCTTGCCTTCTTGAGCTGAGCTGAGGTGACTAGCAGAGGGCCCTCTTCTACTCTTCTTCCTTCTCCCGTTCCGGCCAGTCCCCTTGTTCAACGGTTCAGCCTGCTGAATTGAGTCACCAGTCACCAGACTCACCACCGCCTCTTGATCCATTCCTTTTGTCCAGTAGTGCAGCAGTGCATCACATTACGACAAATGCAGCTCTCGGCGGACAGCAGGAAGAAGAAGCGGCGGCGGCGGCGGAACCTGCCAGCATGGTCCTGCAGATCTGCTGCCGGCGCCGCTCAAGGTCTGTCTCAGTGCTGCTGCTGCTCTAGCCCCGGTGGCGGCCTCGTGACAACAATCCCGTGCGCATTCTCTCGCTGCTCCGGCGGCGCCGCCTCGTCTGCCGCCTGCGCGCCGGCAGCGGCGGCCGTCCGTATCGGCACCCAGCAGCACAAGCTGACGATGCTGCTCATTGCACTCGCGCTCCTCCTCGTCCTCCCTCCTCCTCCAGCTCCATTTCTCGTGGCAGGGGTCTCGGTGTCGCCCCGGAGGATGGCGAGGATCCAGAGCCATCTGGACAGGATCAACAAGACCCCCGTGCGCTCCATCCGGGTAAGAATAAGCAACACGATCTGTCAATGCAACAACAACCGTGTGCTTGTTCCTGTCTGTCGTGTCTCTTGGTTGACGATCATGCATGGCTGATGGAGCCGACGACGGTGGGTTGGTAACTTGGTATTGTTTGTTTCATCTCAGAGCGCGGACGGCGACACCATCGACTGCGTGGCGGCGCACGAGCAGCACGGCCTGGACCATCCGCTCCTCAGGACGCACACCGTCCAGACGGAGCCGCCCGAGGCGCCCATGCCGAGGGGCGGCGGCGGATTCGTCGTACCAACCGCGGCTGGCGGTGGCGCTGCGACGACGGCGACGGCGACGAACGGAAGCAGAAGCAGCAGCAGCAGGAACAACGACAGGCATGGCGCGTGGCAGGCGTGGCACCACGGCGGGCACTGCCCCAGGGGCACGGTGGCCATCCGGCGGACCACCGCCGAGGACGTGCTGCGCGCCAGGTCCATCTCCCGCTTCAGCCGCAAGAGGAGGAGTCACGGGAACGCGGCGGCCGTCGCCGCCGCACGCGCGGCCAACGCGCCGGACGTCATCACCGGCAATGGCCACGAGGTGAGCCACTGATTTTAATTTACTGCTGCTACTGATAGTCGTAGCTACTACGCATCCAGCTAGATTACTATATTTAGAGAACTCTCATCAAAATCAAGCTAGCTAGCCACTTTATTACTACTACGCTTCCATCGGTGGAGCTGCTGGATCGTCGTCCGTCCGTTAGCGAGTGTTAGGCACCCTGTACGCTCGATCTAATCACAACAAAATAGTATCAGCCTACTTATAAGTCATGTTTTCTCGTAACAAAACAACATCTGTCGGCTTATAAACTCCAGAAACTATCAAACGAACAGAGGTGAGCATTGATCGACCAGTGACGACGCTGGTTTGAACAACCAACGTGTGTAACTCGATGGTACGGTGGCATGCCATTGCCTGTTGCCTGTCTGATGAATGGAGAATCAAATTGATTTGAATTGCTGATGGATCGGAATCCGATGGGGGAGGAGAGAGCGAGGGCACGCAGTCATGATGAGCGAGTGAGGCCCGGCCGGCTGGCGCGGCGGCGTGGTGGGTGGCGCGCAATAAGTAGGCAATGCAGTATGCAGAGGAGGGAAAGGACGACGCCTGCTGTTTTTCTGCATGCACCGAGCTACTGCAGCAGGAGACGGGGAGGGGGAGGGAGGGGGAGAGGGAGAGGAGGCCACGCATGGCATGGCCATTACTATTGTTCCCACCAACATTAATTTTAGTTCCTCGTCTAAAACTTTACCCCCTATCATATCGAATGTTCGATACATGTATAAAGTATTAAATATAGATTAAAAAATAATAAATTACACAGATTACGACTATTTTGCGAAACGAATCTTTTAAGCCTAATTAGTCCATGATTTGACAAGAAAGTGCTATAGTAACACGTGTGCTAATGACGGATTAATTAGGCTTAATAAATTTATCTCGCGTTTACTGATGGATTCTATAATTTGTTTTTTTTATTAATATCCGAACATCCTATATGACACCCTCATATAACATCCGATGTGACACCCTAAAACTTTACACCTGTATCTAAACACTACCTCAATTCACATCGGTCTCAGTCCATCGCTTCTTCTTCGTTGGTAGAACGTACTAGCTCTTCGGCTAATGGTTTTTTTTTTTTGCTGATAAGCCTGTTTTGTTATAAGAGAAAAACATTATATCATGTATTATGGCTGATAAGCCGGGCTGATAAGTTAAGCGAGTATATTACTATCTATCTCGCTAGTACAATATATTCCTCATTTCTGTACTGGCATCGTATATATATACGTTTTGCTTGTTCATTAGCTAGTACGTACTCCCTCTACAGTACGAGCTAGTGACTGTCATCTTTCATCTTTGCTACGAAACTTGGTCCATACATCTCTGTTAGACGCCGGGGAGTGGCGTGCTCTCGACTCAGAAGTGGGTCAGTGCACCTTTAGTGACGATGGAGCCGGCCATTCGCCCAATCATGCATGTAAAATGGTCCACGCACTGCACCAACAATACTCTTCATTCCACGCGATGCTCACCCGGTAAAAGTATCCGGTGTGGCCGTGTGGGGATGGATGGGTTGCTGAGACAAAAGGCGTGCTGTGGGGAGGGATTATGGGCTTATGGCAAAGGTGGAGTCGTACTGTGTGTCGTAGAGTATACGTTCTGTAGCAGAGCATGCATGCAGTAAAAGATTGTTCCGGACGGTAACATAGGAGTATGCAGAGGTGAGCGAGAGTGAGTGGGCATGCATGCAGTAAATGATGAATGCGGGTGTGGGGTTCGTTGGGCCACCTGCTGCCTGCCTAGTGCCGTGCTGCTTACTGTGAAGTGAATCCACTGCATGCTCACGTTGTGTAGATCGATCGTCTGTCTTTTGTTCGTTGGTTAGTAATGTTAGCTCGATCGATCGATCGCTAGATCGTCGGTGTAGTATAGCAGTATATATGTACTAGCGGCGGCGGTAGCAGCAGCAGCTACATATATATACATACATGCATATTTGTAACCAGCAGTCAGCTTAATTGCTACTAATAATACTGGATGATATATTTGCATGCGCTGTATGCAGCACGCGATCGCGTACACGGCGCCTTCGCAGCAGCAGGTGTACGGTGCCAAGGCCACCATCAACGTGTGGGATCCGGTCATCCAGGAGTCCAACGGCTTCAGCCTCTCCCAGCTCTGGATCCTCTCCGGCTCCTTCAACGGCTCCGACCTCAACAGCATCGAAGCAGGATGGCAGGTCCGGTTACCAATCCCCTTTTCCATTGCCATGCCATCGATCCCCTATCCCATGCATTGCGCGCGTATATATGCATGCATCTCAACTACAGTACCCCTCCGTCCGGGAAAGAATACAATTCTAGCATAATATCATGGTTTAGTATCTTAAATTCGATCAATTATAGATAAAAAAATATTAATATTTATGCTATCAAATAAATATCATTAGATTAATTACGAAATGTATTTTCATAATAAATTATTTTGGAACAGTAAATGTGAATAATATTCACTAGAAATTTAGTTAAACTTGAACCACTTTTGATGACACGAAACCCGTAGTTGCATCCTTTCTTGGACAGAGGGAGTTGACACTCACGTCGATGAACACCGGCGAGTACATGATACATATAAAGTACTAACACTACAGTAGTACGTATATAACAACTGATGAAAACAAGTACCATGTTCTACTATAGTGCTCCTAATTACGTTCTTAATCTCCATATCCTATAGCTAGCTTAGAGCTTACTACGGTCAACCCTGGCAAGTTAAGGTCGACTGATGGATCGAGGCCATTGCGGTTGCAGCATGCATGCACATGGCCTTCTTAAATGCTTGGATCCATCAGTCGCGCATAGATCGAGATCCCCGTCGATTATTGTTGACTCTGTACTGCAGCATCTCCTCCCGCTCATCGATCGAGCAGCACCTAGCTTCTCATTTGCTTGCTCGAGGTCAACCCATTCCCATGTGTGTCCTCCTGGCTCTGTGCCTCTGCTTGCATGGTTGTCCAGCCAACAGTTTTTTTTTATATATATATATATATATATATTTCTGAGCTAGACTAGAAAAGCTTGGTCATATTCGGGAGCCACAGCCACATCTCGGTGTCCCGGTACGGTCGAGGCGCCAGAATATATGACTCAGGCTTTGTTTAGATTCCAAGTTTTTTCACTCTCTCTCTATCACATCAAATATTTGGACATATGTATGGAGTATTAAATGTAGATAAAAAAATAACTAATTACACAGTTTGATTGTAAATTACGAGACGAATCTTTTGAGCCTAGTTAGGCCATGATTGGACAATAATTGTCAAATACAAACGAAAATGCTATAGTGCCAAATACTGATTTCTAACACCCATCTAAACAAGGCCTCAACCTATCTGAGTCCAAATCCTGCCATCCTGGTAAGTTAGAAAAAAAACTGAAGCAGTTCACTGGCGTCGAAGGATTCAGAGATTTGGGTTTCCATGGTACGTGGAGTTGTTCAGAGCTTCCCGGTTTCCATGGTTGGCAGATTTGGAAGGACGTCCTGAGGAGGCTGACGGACCAGCGGTGACGGCTGAACCAAACGGCCATCATCAGTGCTCAGTGCGGTATTATAATTAGGCGGTCTAGCTAGCTTCGTTGTTCATGATAATTGCCCACATGCATATTTGTGAGGATATGATTTTACTCTCACGCACGCTACGTACCTACCTGCGCTGCAAAACCTTTTTGGTTGCGGCTTGGGAGGGTCACGCATGCAGGGAGTAAATCATTGTGCCAAGCGAAAACGTTTGACATACTCGTACTACTTGGTCTAAAAAAACCCCAATAATTTTAGGTTTGGATTAACTTAAATTTTGTTAAATTTAACAAAATTTATATAAAATAGTATCAACATTTGTATCTCCAAATAGGATTATTGCAAAAAAATATTCTATGATTAGTCTAATGATATTATTATGCATCATAAATATTAGTATTTTGTGAACTTATCAAAATTTGAGACTAATTGAATCATAAAAAGGAAGTGAGAATTATTTTTTTTAGGATGAAAGAACTACATAGGTAAAATTGTACTGTGTCCGTCCGTCCATTTGGTTAATTTAATTTGGATTTTCGATTGTTCCCTTGGTTGTGAAGAAAAGGTTGAATTATATATATAAATGTGCTTCCATCCTGGAAAAGGAAATTCTTATTCTGTCCTTAGAGCAATTTCAAGAGTCTCTTTATATCTTTCCTAATTGATAGAAACAGAGATTTTGGTGAAAAATATAGTCCAACAACTTTTTTAATTAGATCTCCAAATATTGTCATCATCCATTTCGGATTTCTCGCTAGCTAAAGATAGAGAGCGATGTTGTATATCTGGAGTGTGCACAAGATATAAGCTGCTGGAGGGTAGAAAGATATAGAGAAAGATTTTTATTCAAATGACTATTCAAATAATGATTTAGAGAGTGGGTTAAGAAAGATTGCTGGAGATGCTCTTAGTCAAACTGTTTAGAAAAGAATACCAAGTTACTGACAATCATGACGTCAAATAGGAATACTATAAAACGTATTCTATGACGAATCTAATAAAACTTATCTGGTGCATGTATAATTTAATATTGCTATTTTTTATAAATTTGATCAAACTCAAAAAAATTTATTTTCGTACTACATTAAAATTACATTCTTTTAGGATAAAGGAAGTAGTAACAATTAATATATTCATATGCCCATAATAATTATTACTGCTATATATCTGAATCTGAAGCTGTGCACGATTTTTCTAGTCAGGTCAGCCCTGAGCTGTACGGGGACAGCAGGCCGAGGCTCTTCACGTACTGGACAGTGAGAATAATCTACCTGCTGCTGCATATTTATCCATTTCATTTATTTTCAATTCATATTTTGATTTGCATTGCATGCACGGAACTATATGCATTAGTATTACTATATATAGTCTAATCTATCGTAGTGGTACTAATAACAAGAACAACACACAATAATGGACACGCATGCACGCAGAGCGACGCGTACGAGGCTACTGGTTGCTACAACGCGCTGTGCCCGGGGTTCGTGCAGACGAGCTCCCGCATCGCCATCGGCGCGTCCATCTCGCCGGTGTCATCGGCCGGCGGCGCGCAGTACGACATGACGCTGCTGATCTGGAAGGACCCGAAGCTGGGCAACTGGTGGCTCAGCTACGGGGACCAGCTGGTGGGGTACTGGCCGGCGCAGCTGTTCACGCACCTGTCGGACCACGCCACCATGGTGGAGTGGGGCGGCGAGGTGGTGGACACCAGGCCCGGCGGGGTGCACACCGCCACGCAGATGGGGTCCGGGCGCTTCGCCGGCGAGGGGTTCGGCCGGGCCAGCTACTTCCGCAATCTGGAGACGGTGGACGCCGACAACAGCCTGGCCGAGGTGGCGCTGGACGCCATCCAGACGCTGGCCGAGAACCCCGCCTGCTACGACATACGCAAGGCCTACGACGACGACGGCCAGCACTCCGCCCGCGGGGGATGGGGAACCCACTTCTACTACGGTGGCCCGGGACACAACCCGGCGTGCCCCTGAATCCCTGATGGTCATCTGAATCTATCTGATGAGGCCCCTGACCGTGCCATGGATGGACTACCTCTGCATGCATTTGAATTAATTCATCTACATCTATTAATTAATCGCACATCATGCTGCATCATCTAGCTACTTGGTAGAGTAGTAGTATATGTGCATCTAGAGGACTAGCAGCCTGTTCGCTTGTTCGTATACGATCGTGGATTATAAGCTGGAACAATATTTTTCTCTCACATCAAACCAGCCAGCAGTAAATAATCTACGATCGTTTACGGCCTGCCGAACAGGCTGTATCAGAATGTATCCGTCATGGCTCCCTAAGCTAGCTAGCCAGTCCAGTCCAACAAGAGGACCATGTATATCGTGCATGCATGCTTCCACCTGTGTGTACGCGTGGCCAAATTTTGACGTACGTTTTCGTACGTGCAAGCTTTCGCTAATTCTACCTGTAAGGACTTGCAAGCTGTAATTAACTGTCGATTTATCTGTTCTTTCAATCGATCCCAAGGATTTAAAAAAAATGATTTTCTCGAAACATAGAGCATTCATGGATAATAAGCCTCATCAGAAGTGCTGGCTACAACAGCAGGGAAAAAGAATAGGTGAGCAATGGGGCGTATTCTATCTCGTGTGCGCCCCCTTAGCTGATGCTCGCCCCGTGTTCGGTGGCTCAATCAGACGGCACCTATACAGGACCCTCAGCCGGAGACAAATCGCAGAAGGCTCGGCTCCTTGGAGTCTGGTCTTCTCAGGCCCAACATGCTAACAGGTTGCACCGAGGCCTAACTAGCGCGGGCAGTTGCACACTGCTGCTGTCGCTTCCGTCTAGAAGCAGCCTCCATGGCAGACGTTGGAGGCCAAGAAGATATCGCAACCGTTGATCTGATGGCATCATCTTCTCTAATGGAGGCTTTATGTGTGGTACCAATTGACGCTGTCGTTGGTAGTCATGGCTGTCATGGAGAAGACGAAAATCACATAACACAGGTTGGGTATTTGTTTAGATCGTCTCGTTTTTTCATCTATGTGTTTGTGGTAGACTCTTAGGATTCATCCAGGTGTAGTACTTAGGGTAAATTGCTTGCTGGTTGATTCAAATCGAGTAGCAATTAACTTGGGACAAGGAGACAAAGAGAGTTGGGGAACCATACCTTCGGCCTTGACAGAGGAGGTAGAGGAGGAAGTAGCTGCCACGACAGCGGGTACGCAGTGTGGGTGGTGAAGTCCGGCGTAGTGGTGGCGATGCAGAGGCGACGGTGAAGTCGGCGGCGGTTTCCCGTCGCTGGCAGCACCGCTCCCTTTAGATCAGGTTAGGTTTCTCTGTAGGCGGGTTGCGGCGGCTCAGGTCAACCTCGTGGCTTGTGTAACACCATCGGTGTTACATTGTACAGTTTTTGCTAAAACACTGCATGAGCATCATACTTATGTGCAAATGTGTGGAGACTTTGGCATTTCACCCATCATTAGAAACGGGTTTCGCAGTTTTACCATCCCTCAAAGTGGTTTCGCAATTTTACCATTATGAAACGGATGCAACCCGCTGGAATACACTTTGTGTAGTTTTAGTTTGTGAAAAAAAGAAGACGCTTCCTTCCATTCCTACCCCTGGCGCTGTTACTTTCGTTCCATCAGAACGGATCGAACAAAACGGATCGGCCCTCTCCTCCATCCCAGTGGCCTTCCCCTTCCCCGCCTCCCTCCCGTCGCCGCCGCGGCGCCTAGCCTTCCCCACGCAGCCCCCTCCCCGGCACCGCCTGCCACCACCACACCGCCCTCCCCTCCCGTCTTGGGCGGCCTTCCTTCCCCGCCGCCCCCTCCCCCACCGGCACCGCCCTGCCACCACACCGCTCCCCTCTCGTGCCGTTGCTAGCCTTCCCCCATGCTGCCTCCTCCCTTGCCGGCACAGGCCCGCCCCCACGCCTTCTCCTCCCCTGCTGATGCAGTTCTCAGCACCACGCCTCCCCCCCTCCACTTTGCAGTGCCACCAAAGACCGCTCCCACTTGGCGCCGCCCAAATGGATGGGAGCAGCAGTTCGACGGGGGCCATCCAGAGGGCTGGGAGTAGAGTCATTCTCCCTCTTGTCCATTGCGACAAATGCAAATGCCGCATTGTCAAGGCATTGATGGCAAAGACAGAGAAGAACTATGGGCGCATGTTCTACATCTGTTCAATTCGAACGATTCTATGATTTGTTCCATTTTGTTTGTAATTCATGTGTTGTATTGTTCAGTCAATTGAAATTTCTTTGCATTGGTGACAGATGGATGGTGGTGGATGTGACTTTTGGAAGTGGCAGGAGGACTATGAGCAATGGCTGGTTGATAACAAGCATGTGCCACCCTCTTATCAGCCTGTTTTTCAGAGCACTAAGATGCCACAACCAGAAGAACAGACCAAGGGAGATGGTGGACAACTAGAGCAGTTCAAGTACCTGACAGGAATAGCTAGAGAGATTGTGTTCTTGCTGAAATGCTTGATATTAGTTTGTGCACTTGTAGTAGTGACCAATTTGTATGGAATTGTTAAGAGTGGGTGATGAGTGTGCTTTCTGTACTTGTAGAACTTGTGTGCTGAAATAAATGAATGGAAGTATTAGTGACTTGTATCATGTGTGTTGTGTCATGTGTGCTGTGCAGGGATCTAGGAACTGCATCTGGAATGCTTTCTATACTTTACATACCATGAGCTAAGTTGGCTGGTGTAACCAGCTACAAAGTTCAGTCTACTGTGTAACCTGGCCATTTGTCATTCTGTACATGTTTCCATTTGTCTGACATAACTGTATGGCATCTGCTACTACTCAATAGCCCTAAAATCTGCTAATCTGAATCTGAGAAGATGCATTCATTCTGCTGATTGAGTCCATCATGTACAGGTCATTGTGGGTGGTATAGCAGCTGAGCATCTGGGCTTACCAAAAGCACAGGCAAAGGACAAATGTTCACATTATGGCATATTGCATATGTGATACAAAGCAGCCGGCATCTAGGCTTACCAAAAGTTGTCTGACATTTGAAAAAAAGGAGGAGAATTAATGAAATAGAATATTTGACATATGAATGAATAACAAAATATTGTACACTTATACCTTCGTGTCAACCTATTAGGACTATCCTATAGCAGTGTTTCCCTTGTTCTGGTGGGACTTGTGACTGGTGGGACTTGGGCACATTCATTGTGACTGGTGGGACTTGTGACTGGTGGGACTTGGCCACATTCATTGTCAGGCTCCCCTAGAAACATGCTTTTTTGCCCTCTTTGTAGGGACCTTAGCATTTTTGCCATACTTAGTTGTATTCGGCCTAGCCTTCCTTTTTGGTGGTTTCTTAGTCCCATTAAGTCTACACTTGTAACTAGTTTCTCCATGTCCCAATTCTCCACATCTCTTGCATTTCCTTTTCCCTCTAATCAGTTGCCTCTTACCTTTAGCAGCCTCACTGGCCTCCAATTCAACATCTTTGTCAGCTTCATTTGCAGCCTCTTTGGCAACCTTCTTGGTTTTGTCAGCACTGCCTCCTTCCAAACAACCTTTAATTCTCAGTTTCCTGTACCTTCCAACACCTTTTTTATCAAGTGGTGCCTCAACAGGAAAAGGAATATCAACTTTTGGCCACTGTGTCTTATCTGGAAGTGGTTCTATCAGCCTCTTATATGCATTTTTGAACCTCTGCACAGAGTAATAGTCATGAATGAAGTCCTCCAACTTTACATCATCACTTTGTTGGGATGTTAGCAAGACCAAAGCATGCCGACAAGGCTTTCCAGTGTGCTGCCATTCAAGACAAGTACATTCATGCAAGGATGACTTGACAACATGTCTATTATGTGTGCTGGTAGTGTTATGTACTTATGAAGAAAAAACAACGCCTTCTGGCACGGTCAGTTTCCTAATCCTCTAGTCCTTGCTTTCAGTATAGTTAGGATAGCAGGTAGGATGTTACCCTCAAGTTTCTCTAAAATCAACCTTCTCTTGTTCCATAATACCATTAACATTTCTCTAATTTTATCAGCAAGCTCAACTACAGGAAGATCCTTCCAATCTCTAATCCAGTTATTAAAAGACTTGCAAGATTATTGGTAACATAGTCACACTTAATTTCTTGATTGAAAGCACTTCTCATCCACAACAATTTGTGGTGGTTATGAAGCCATTCCAATACTTTAGGGCAAGCAGTCACAATTTCATGGAAGAAATATTGGAAAACTTTAGGCCTATATGTCCTTGCTGCAGGATACATTTTTGAAAAAATATCTCCACCAAATCTTTTTATGAAATTCTACATTAGATGCCTAAAGCATTCTCTATGCTCAGCATTAGGGAAGACATCTCTAACAGCTTTCTCTAACCCTTTGCATGCATCAGTGCAAATAGCAAGTAGTGGTAGGTTCCCTATTGCTTTGTGTAGCTGAGTCATGAACCATGTCTAATTATCTATTGTCTCCCCATCTATGAAACCAAAAGCAAGAAGGTACATCCAATTATGACCATCTATTGCAACAGCTGCAGCCAAATGTCCATTCCACCTACCATTAAGTGCAGATGAGTCTACGCTCAGATAAGGTCTACAACCCTCTAAAAAAACCCTCAATGAAAGGACTTAATGCACAAAAAATTTGTGGAAGTAAACCTTACCATCTACCTCCTTTAAGTCAATTTCAATCACACTACCTGGTGACCGCTTCAATACCTCTGCCCTCTAGCTGAACAACATTTGGAAGCTCTCCTCCCAGTTGCCAAATATTTCCCTCAAGGCAATATTCCTTCCCCTCGCCACTGTGTCATAGTGAATTTCACACTTGTGTTTCTCTTGTAGCTTCTTCTGCAATTCTTTAGGGCCCATGTTGGGAGTCTTCTTAAGGTGGTGAATAGCCTTTGATGCTACCCACCCACTTGTTGGAGTGGTGGTCTTCCTCCTTGCACTAGAAGAGCATGTATGCTGAGAAATCAAACATGTGACCTGCAAAATACCAATGAATTAGATATTGACCAGCAACAAAA